GGGGGGGGGGGGGGGGGGGGGGGGGGGGAGGAGAGAGAGAGAAAGAGAAGAGAGAGAGAAACAGACCTTGAGAGGTGGAAGAAGGAAGAGAGGCTTGGGAGTTGGGGGTGCTAAGGGTGGGGTGGAGAATGCCCTTGGGAAGGAAGGGGGTGGGGAAAGGCCCCAGAGCCACCCACACTTGGTGTAATGCTCTGCTGTTGCCATCTTTTAATTCTTACTATTTTTTTTAAACCAGGGTACCACATTTTCATTTTGTACTGTGCCCCACAAATTATATAGCCAGCTCTGTAGAGATTAATAATTTAGAAGGGGAAATGTGTTCTTTTTTCTCATTAGGGCAAATTTTCCATAAGCTTCCTCCATTTAGCATGCCTTTAAAATTTTATCAGAGTTCATAACGTAAGCTTTAAAATACTAATCTGTCAAATACTTAATCTTCAATGTAAATTTCCTTTTAAAACCACTCACACTCAATAAAAATTAGGAAGAATGATAAATTTCCTGACTCAGGAAAGTGAAATATAAAAAAAGATAAAATAAATTTAAGTGTAGGTCTTGAGTGTAAATTCATACTTGAATGGTAGCTTAGGAAATGCACTTTCATTTTTATTTCTTGTTATATATGTAATATATGTTTGGTATGGGAAGTTTAGGAAATAAATATAAATAAACAGATGAAGCAAAAAAATCACCCCCAAAATCCTTAACAAGAGTTAACCCTTTTACCATTTTGGTGTGTATCCTTCTAGGTTTTATGCATATATTTATAAATGTATATCTTTGTTTGTGCTTAGTGGATTATATTTTAAATAACACTGTAAAACTTGATTTTTAATTTAACAATATATTTAGTAATATAGTCTACTTACATCTCTATCCTTAAAATTAAATATTTAAAAATACTATTACAATATAATTTAATATGATTTTTCTATTTATATGGACACATAATAATGTATTATTAAACATTTGTCTTTTTATTTCTTCGCTATTATAAAAAACACCAATATGAACATCCTTTGTGTATTTGTATAATTCAATAAGTACAAATTCTGGGTAGAAAGTTTGCCCATTTTAATGCTTTTGATACATTCTTCCAAGTTGTTCATTTATGATTGCACCAATGTCCAGACCCACTCAATGGCAGTAAATATTAACCTTCCTTTAAAATTTCTTGCCAATTGGGTAGATGAAAACTGTTTAGTATCATTGCTTTCTTTGTTTATTAATAAGGTTGCACAGGTTTATGTATGTTATCAGCCCCCTTTTTTTGATGAGAATCCTGTTAATGCTGTTTGGTCACGTAAAAACATTTTTTTTGTAGGTCATCTTTGGCCTTTCTCTTATCTTTACGTACTCAGGTTGCGCTGCACAGAATTTTCCTAATTTGTCAAATCCTTCCAGCATATTTTCAGAGATCTGCAGGGTTGCTGCATTTTTCTCTATAGGGGTGCTTTTAAAATCCATCACTTGTTTGTTTTTTAAACTTAAAAATGTATGGTAATGGTAGTTATAAAGATTATATTAATATCACATAAATAAAATATTTTGTAATGTATCTAAAATGTATAGCAAAACAATAATGAAAACAAACGGAAGAAATGCTGCGCTAGCTCACTGAACATTTCTGTCTTTCCTATTCATTTCTCCAAATCCTGGCAATGCATTCTATATACTGAACACTCTGGATGTTTGGTCTGTTTGTCCCCAGGCCTTCCACAGAAAGAATTTTATTAATATTCTCATTGTGAGCCCTGTTGGAAACTTCCAGGGTATGATATACAATTGTGTAATTTCACAAGACAACCCCTTAGGATGCAGAATGTAGAAAGCAAGGTTGGGGCTTTGGATTATTGGATTTTTCTTACCCTCTCCAAAGTAATTTCTTCAAACTCATATTCAATTTCTGTCCCATTGACCTGTAAATAGGAAAAAAGAAAGAGAGTGATTAAATACGTAGTGAGGTGGCGACAACTTCATTTTAAATAACATTTGGGGGTTAAGTTTCATTCTGGCTATGAACAAACTACACTTTCTTGATGTGCAATTGTATGTTTGTATCCAAATAAAATATAATCCAAGCTATTCTAAAATATATGAATGAGACTACTAAAAAAAATCAAAACTTACTGCATCCCCTAGAATTTTGCAGTCTTTGAGGGAGATAGAACAATACAAAATATGCTTTGTGAATTTACAAAGAATAAACCATCACAGCAGCAATGTTACGGTTATAAGGGAAACATTTTCCTAAGATATTTTAAAATTTCTATGGATGCATACTAATATATGACCTTAAAAAGTCAGTTTTAAGGGTAGCACAACCATATCATTTTTTTAAATGTAAAATATCATTAAGAATGATCATGTTACGTAAGAAATGACTTTTCCTTATTGGCTTAAACTCAGCTAATTCATCCTTATAATCCTCTTGTTATATTTATTGGGAAGCCCTAGACCATGTAACCATGCCCATGTACTTTAGTTGCAATAAGAAAAGGGCAAAGTAGGATATGGTTGAAATTTTTAAGGAGACACTGTTTTAACCATTCAACCAGACCTGGAATTGATTTGAACGTAGAGAGGGAAATATATTTAAAATATAGCCAGGCAATATATAACCTATGCCTTAGATTTCAACAGATGTGCATACAGCATGTATAAAGAGTTGCTTTAAAATAATCCAACAAACATTCAATTCCCATTCTTATCTATCACAGAGTCCTTTAGAACCAGTAAAGCCTCTGAGCAAAAACATTCTCCAATTGCTAGTTTCTTTTTTCTTATATGTGTCTCAGCAACATCAGTAGCATTTAGGAATCAGCAAGAAAGACTAATTTTTAACTATAACACCATCATTGTTGTAGAGTTCTAACTTCAGTTGACTTTTCCCTTCTTTAGAAGAATTTAAACATAATTTTTGTCGATTGAGAGTTCTATGGAGGCAAGGATTTGATAGTCTAACAGAAAGCCTGGCAAGAAAGAATCAATGAGAAAAAAAAAAAAAGAGTGAATGAGTGACTGGCTGAACTAAGGGCTTCATTCATTCATCTGCTTTAAAACACAGTTATTTGTGAATTCTCTCCTATAGGGAATTGGGATGTAGTAACATCAACTGAAGGTTAATTATAGCTACAATCAGCAAATACAAAGAATGACAATAGGCTGTATTTATGTGTGTACACCAGCCACTTAGAGCATATTTTTGATTTTCTAATTACATGAGCTAATTGGTGAATCACATTTTATTGTGTTACTACCTTATTAAACAGCCCTAAACCAAATTTGATTTTCTGTGCTTCAGCAACCTAATGACTCATAGAAGAGGACTTAATAAGGTTAGAAAGTTTTAGCTGCTCTATGGAGGTTTTTGTTTTTTACGTGTAAAAATACAAAATAAAACTCAAATCCTCTGTATGTGTGTGTTTTCATATTAATTCGTTTTGTTTGTTTTTATAACTTTGTGGAATTAATAGGGGGAGGGCAGAAAGAGAAAACTGAATTAATGTGACATATTTTAATTCTCTCGGCAGGGCTCCTGGAAGCTTTCCTTTGCTTCAGTGCCTCTCTAGAGTGAAGCCTTCACATTATTCGGAAAGGAAAAAACAAACTTCAAAGAGAAGAAAACAAGCTTCTGATAATAAAATCTAAAGGCTCAGGGTGAAAGATGTTCTGTGAGGTGGTACTTAAAAGACAAATATATTGTAGTGGCATATGTTACATAGTCATGGTCCATAAAAATCTTTGCTTAACATTTCTATGATCATACATGCCGACTTTTAGATCCCAGAAGTATTATATATAGATAGCCAAATTAGTATACGGACGTTCTCTGGTCAGCTCCATGAACTACTGCAGACTTATATTTACTTCATGGGTCTTTAGTTTTCAACCTAAGAAAGGAACTTCATTTGCCTAATTCAGGATATCTTCGTATGAAGGGACAGTGCCACCTGGGTTTGGGTGTAACCTTGCTTTTAAAAGAAAGCATCTTATGACTACAACAGAATTTAGTAAATTATAAAGATGTGAAAGGTTTTTAGCATAAGTGAAGCAACATTTCAGCCTTTAGTTGAAGAACATATAAAACATGGTATCACAGGAGCCAGTGTGGGAGTTCAGGAAAGACATTTAAGAGGTTCTAGTGTCCATTCTCTCATCACTAGGAGAGCATGCTATATGTTCTGCCTAAGGACCCCTAAGGCAAGACATACTACAACCTTCCTTGGCAAAGACCTTGGAGGAAAAAATAAGCTAGAAAGAATTAAGAATACCTCTATTTAAGACATCCGTGAAAATTTAGCGACTTTCGAAAGCAATATTCTTTGAATATTTTCTCCCCACATTTATTTAGAAGAGTGGTTGCTTATTAAGAGGTAAAGAACCAAGAGGTATGAACAGTAACTCCTCATAGCTATAATTTGCTGTATTCTCAACAAAACAAAAGAACCTCCACCATCTTCTGGGGGTTTTACAGACAACTTATTGTCTGAACTTACTTGGTGGTCTTGCTCTACCCCCCTATCAGTTTATTAATTTATGCCTTTCAATTTACAAAGTTCTCTTCCTGAAAAGAGTTCTGCCAAATATAACTGTTTGCTGTTCTTGATCAGTAATATTTCCCCTGGTATTTAAATACCCTAGTAATCTTAATGGTCCTGATAGTTTGGGGCCTGGGTGGCTGCTTGGCGAGGGTTTCTGTTATTCCAGCTGTATCAGTGACCATCACTCAGTCATCTCTCCACCTTAGGACTAGAATAGTGAAAGGGCTGGTAGTTTTGTAGACATGGAGGGTCAACAAAGTAGATGCAATTTCCCAGTTTTGAAAAAAATCTGTTTTTCTTCAAATACATGATAGTTTTGAACCTAATGGTTCTGTGGTGACAGCTGGTAGGTTTCTATGGTGGCCAGAAAATCAAATTAATGCCACACATTGTCCTGTACTGTTCTGGGCATGCAGCCTTCCTGGCATCACAGGGAAGTGAAGATGACAGAGTGACCTACTCAAATTCAAACTTGGTATTTAAAGTTTTAATCCTATAAACTTGGAATGCTTTACATGATTTTTTCCTCTCTGACACTCTCTAGTTAATTTCACTGCCCTTTTTTTCTCCCTTCAGTACTATGGTAACCACCTGCCTGAATGAGAATATAATTTGATTTTGAGATGTATTTTTATCTCCTGAAAATGGTTTTTTTATGAATAACACATGTGAATTATTCTATATTTTAGTGTTCTTTAATTGGAATCTTAAGTAATGAATTCTCTATTTCTTTTGTTCTTTGCCACATTTGTAATTTTATTAAAGCTAGTAGCATATTAAAATCTGAGATGAATGAATTTTTATATATCCCCAGATCGCATATTGTAACAAGTGCTAAAACAGAAAAATCAAGCTTCTTAAGACTAAATACAATTCCACTCAATGAGTAATTATTGAGTTTACAAGATGTATTACTTAGTGTGACAGGGACTGAGAAAATAAAGATGTTAAGATATGATTCCTATTCTTAAGAAACATGCAGTTCTCAAAGAGGCACCAAACACAAACATATTAACGCCTCATAGAAGTGTGATGTCCAATATACAAAGCAGAGAGGCGTACTAGAGCCCCACTGTCACCACCTGCAAATCTATACAGGTCTATTTACTATTTGTTATATACAGCAAGTCCTCACTTAACATTTTTGAGAAATTCTGCGACAGTGAGCAAAAGGACATATAACAAAACCAATTTTACCATAGGCTGATTGGTACAAACAGGAGTCAATACCATCTCATCAATGTTGAAACGAAACGATGTTGAATGAAACATTATTTGAAGACCTTCTGCATATAGATTTGATTCCTTAATAGTATAGTACATGATAAATAATACCTTTATTATAAGTAATTATGATATAATACACATGACTTGTCTTTGAATCTGTTCTAGGTATCTGAACTGTAGCATCTTTGCTGCAAACATTCTCATGGCACAATTAATTGGCCGTAAGGCAATTTTGCCATAAAATAACTGGCTGACAGTTTGGGGTGTTTTTTGTTTGGTTGGTTGGTTTCATTTCTCCATTGAGGAATCATTCAACCAAGTTTGGCAGATTAAGCTAGTTGTCAGTTCGGTTTCCTTTCTCCATTGAGGAAGTTCTTGAATCTACTCCCATTTTTCTACATATAAATCTCAGAATCTTAGCTAGCTCTTTCAATGGTCTTTAGGGTGACAAGTAGGTATGGTGGTGGTGATCTTAAAATTCTTAGCATTCTTCCAAATGACCATGATTTGTCCCAGAGTTCGTTTCTCATTTTAAAACACACCACCTTGGGAGAAGAAAGGTCAAAGGCCCTCTTTGAGGGTGCAGATTTAGTTTAGCCCACATTTCTCACAGAACAAGAAAACTGCTTAGGTAAAATCCACAAAATAAAATTAGTTATTTGAGTAGTTTTGCCATGAAGCAACACACATTTTAAATAAAGTTTCTTTAATTTTGTTATTCATTTTTTTCATGTTTCACTGTATCTTTTTTAATGTCCCTCTTTTATTTGTTGTGATTTTATCTTTTTTACAGCAAAATTGTCTTATGGCCATTAGTTATATGGCAAAATGCTTATGGCAAAGATGTCTACGGCCAAGATGCTTTTGGCAAAAATACTGGGCATACTCTGAATGTCATAGCTTTAGTATACTATAAAGCTGTCGGGCTTTGAGAGAAATGTGACGATCATGGGGACTAGGGTCTGGTTTCTATGGCCTCTTGCCACTCCCAGAGCAAGGCAGGGCCCATGTCCCTCTGCTTCATCTATGGCTGCAGCGTATACCACAGTGTCCAGCACTCAGACCCACAGCGACTACGTGAATGGGGAAATAGAAAAATCAAAGAATCAATAAAGATTTGTTGCATGGGTAAAACTTGATGCTCTCGA